CGCTGTGGCCGGGCTCCGTCAGGCTCCGGCCGGGACCGCGGGGCAGCCGCGCCGGCGGGCGGGAGGGAGAGGCACTGCTGCCCCGGGGCAGCTCCTCCACAGCCGCAGGTTTATACAGGGCCCCCGGCCAGGGCGGGAGGTTTATGTTTTTCTCTTCATTAGCTTATTTCTGGGAATAGCTGAAGATTTGTTACTGCTGCACAAAATGGGGGCTGTTCCGTGCTGTAAAGCCCACTGACACCGATACGCGTTTGGCTGTTCGGCCGCATTATCAATACACGGTCAGCCAGGGATCCTTTTCAGCTCCTGTTTGATTGTTGTATATACAGTTACATCACGCTGACATGCTGCATTATACTATATGTACCTCTCATCTATGTCCATATGCATTTTGCATTCTCAGCAATAACTCGCAACAACAGGAATAACACCGAATTAGGTCAATCTTTGTAACTCACATGACCAAGGAATGCGGGAATTATTAGCCACTTTTAATAACATGTTTTCTCTGTGCTGTTTCTGTTGCCTATTTATTTTTATGCTCACTAAATTCAGCTCAGTAGTCTAGAGTATTTTACAAATTGAAAGGACGTTAAAAGCATGGTTTTTCCTCTTTCTGACAGTCAGTGGAACAAATAAATGTCCTCTTTAAGAAGTAGCGCAATATCTGCAACTGCAATAAAATTGAATTAAATGGAAGCTGTTTCACAAAACTGTTTAAGAATCGGCCCATTTTATGTAGGAGACAGAGCACTAGGCTAGTCTTGTCTAGAAATAGAAAGCAAAACAAAGCCAATGTATTCCAGTTCTCTGCAGAAAATGCAGACTTGGTGACAAACTAGCATAGCTAGAAGTAAATAGGTAATATCAGAAACTGGGCTTTTGTAAAAAGGAATAAATCTCTGCCCCAGAGCATTTCAGAGTCCTTCTAAGCTGACTGGGAATAACTACATTTTTCCAACAGGCTAAGTCATACAATGATTCTAAAATCGACATTTTAACTGTTTTAACAGAACTTGCTACAATTCTGATTTAAATTTACATACAGCCACACCCACTCCCAAGAATGGTTCTGAAGAAACACTGCAGGAAAGATTTCTAAAAACTGTCTTGCAAAGGGTTTATTAAACCATTTAGCTTCCAGCCAGCTCACAGTTCTTGCCTCTATTAGAATTCTGTCTTTTAACCCTCATTATCCATTAATTTTGGAGGGTTTTCAGAATTTGGGTGAAAATTAAAATAAAATTCTAAATCTGAAAGGGTAGCTTTGTGCTTATAAAACCTAAATAGAGAAATTAGATTTTCCTTCACTTTGTGCTTTACAAATACGCAGTTTAAAAATATGTGGGGAAAGTGATTTTCCCTTGGAATAGAGATGTGAGATTTCACATGAAACTTAGCCCTTTTTAATCAGAGAAGTTAA